ACCCTACAAGATAAATTTGCAGCTATAAACAAAAATGTCACTTTTTTCCTATGTCAACAATTTCTATCGATAACATCATATTTTATGCATTCATTCCTAGATTACTGTGGGAGCCTAAAGTACTATATTTAAACCTTGTGTGATGTGCAGAAGAAAAATTAAAATTGGCTTTTAAGGTTTAGAGAAACTGTTTTGTAACAGACCTGGGCCTCTATTTTCACATTTTCTTTTAAATTTATTTAAACTTGGAGAATTTCAAATTCAATCAAATGATTTTTTTTTCATTTTTTGATTCAAAATTTTCAGGCTCATATTTATGTAAAGATGAGCAATTCTGAGAACTAGAGCACTCTATTTCCATTTAAAATGCTACAAATTGAAAATGGAAGGAAAAGCATATCAACCGAAGATCGATCCAACAAATTCAGCTCCCATAAAGGCTAAATCACATATCCAAAGCTGGAGGATAAATCATTAGAGTCTGCCGGTTGTACAAGATCAGTAGGGAACCATCTGGCTTATTCAGCTTATATGAATGTAATGTGTGGTATTCCAAGTTTTTGATATTTCCACAGCTCATAAGTAATGAGGCTGCTGGCACCCAGGTTGCATTGTACCCTAATTTCTGGGGGAGATTTTATTTGATTTTTGTTTGTTTTCCATAGCAAATCAAAGTATGAATGCCTCTTCAAAAACAAATTTTGCTAAATTGGAAAGATTATGGTCTCCAATGTTTAAGTATAGCAAGTGCTATATTTATTTCTTTACCCCATTGAATGTTTGTGTTCCCACCCCCCATCCATTTTGGAGATGGTGGGGGATGGAGACTACAATTATCCCTGCCTAATTTTCCTCCCCCAACTTCCTTTCCTCCTTTCAAATTTGTTGCAGCAGGAAGTTCTTTAAGGGAAGGTACTCTGACCTTCCCCAAACTGACTGGAAGAAGGAACTGACACTGGTCACTGTGGGGAAGAGAAAGCATCATCACTGTCGCCTGTCTCTTCCTTCCCACACCTGATTTCTGGTTGCCCCCACTTCACCCCATCTCATCCCATGACTCTCCTAACCTCAGAGTCAAAAGCCAGGGCTCAAAGTGCTGGCTGGTCCTTCCCTTGAAACAATGGTGTTTAAAAAACTAAACAGATACATTTTTTAAAAAGCTGAAATTTAAAAAAAGAAAAGTATGGGTGTGATCTTTAAACTATTTTATAAATTCTCCCCATTCACCCTCCCTCTTTTTCTCAAATACGTGGGGAAGCAATAGGTACTCCAGAACAATGGCTCTCTAACTTTAGCTGCTTTAGGATCACCTGGAGGACTTGCTAAGGCACAGATTGCTGGGCCCCATGTCCAGACTCATTCAGTAAGTCTGGGACAAGACCTGCATTTATAACAAATTCCCAGGGGATGCTGATGCTGCAGGTCCAGGGACCCTCTAAGAACTACCAGCCTAGACACAGAACAACTGCTGAAGAGAGGAAACCCAGAAGCTGCGATTCCAAGGAAGCTCACCTCCAGCTCTAATACAGGGAGGCAGCAGGAGGGGTGTTGATACAGGAAGGCACAGTATCAAGAAAAAGGAAAGTGAAATTATGAACATAAATATGATCTTTTAGCCAATCAGCTCTTGAGACTTTCATTTGCCTGCTGGCTTATATTTCTCTCTCAAACTGCCCCTGGTGCCCTGCAATGGGCACTTGAAACAAACATATTTGGGTTTAAGTCTTATTTGCAGTATGTCCAACTGGGTCAGTCAGCTCTCTTTTGCTGGAATAAATGCCTGAGACTGATCAATTTATAAACAAGGCTTATTTTGGCTCACAGTTTTGGAGGTTCCGTTCATGACTGACTGGCCCCATTGCTTTGGGCCTGTGGTAGTGCACTGTGACATGGCAGGAGGTTGTAGGAAGCCCCTTCACTTTCTGGCCAGGCGTGAAAGTGAGAAAGAGACCAGCAATCCATAATCTCTTTTGAGTGCATGCTCCTCATCACCTAAAACCTTCTAACTGGATCCCACCTCTTAAAGATTCCAACCACCTCCCAATCACATCAAGCTGAAGACCACGCCTTTAACACATGGGCTTTTGGGAAACATCCCAGATCCAAACGTTATCACTTCCATTTCAAACAACAGAACCCACCAACGGTGTTGTTATGTGGATTAAATTTCATTTTGCATGTACGATGACTGGCGACTATATAGCAAATGTTAGCTTTTACCATGCATACCCATACCTTTTGATATTCCCATGAGAATATTCAATATGTTTAGCATCACACTGCCTACTTGATACTATAGGCCCAGTCATTAATTCAGTTAATAATTATCAAGTAGCTGCTCCACAGCTAGTGTATAATACTGTCCAAATATATTGAAATTATGTTCTATAAATAAAAACGTTGATATAAACATTTTGATTTAGAAAACTTATGATTTTATGCCAACTTACATTTAAGATAACTATCTGACTCCAAAATTGGCTAACTAAGGAAATTGAGAGGATATGTTTACTAACCACAAATTTTGTTTGGACAGACACTAAAAATAACAGAATGGGAGAAAAAAAAACAGAGAAAGGAATTCTGCAAACACCTTAGTCTGATATTATTTAGGGCATATTTTAGACAATACTAGAGATCACATATCCACTTTTCCCAAAAATCATTATTTTATTTATGTGACCAAACAACATGGAACAAACATGGGCAAAGTATCCTATTTTGAGTACACAATGATGTCATTTTTAATTCATCACAATGTCAGTCAGAAGCTTAATGATCAGTTAGGAACAAACAGGAGCAATGTTCTTTATGAGTTCTTCCTAGACCCTGGTGTTAAGTCACCCTGCTACCAACTAAATACCCAAATTCATCAGGCCTCATTTTTTTGAAATGTATATAGCAAGAAGGTGAGTGTGACACACATTGAAGTTTCTTGATCTTATCCTTTATGGTGCCTTTGCTCCTTCCTTCTCCTATATCTTCTTTTCTTCAAGAAATTTATAAGGACCACAGAATTTTAGGAGCTGGGTAGAGGTTTTAGAGAAATCCAGACAAACTCCTAAGTTTTACCACGAAAAAACAAGACCAGGAAGTTTGAGTTCCCTGCCCAAAGTCAACTGTTCTTGGGGACAGTAGGCACAGACATCTTCCATTCCCATTCAGCACACCTTCCCCTCTACCCTGAATTTGGCTGAACCTGGATAAACTTCTGCAAAAAAAAAAAAAAA